GTACGTAATTAATAAATGTACGTAATTAATAAATGTACGTAATTAATAAATGTACGTAATTAATAAATGTATGTAATTATAAGACTTTACTCTCGCCCCTCCCGAATGTTGAATGAATGTTGTGTTTTTACTGTTAATTATTTTTACTCACATTTTCTTTTTGTCTTTTGTTCTGCACTCCCCTCCCCTATTATTGTAAGCCGCCCTGAGTCCCTTCAGGGAAAAGGGCGGCCTATAAATTTTAATAAAATACCTTAAAAAAAAAATATTAATAAAATTGAAGTTCTGTAACGTATTAATTGTGAAGATAAGACTGCCAATGATATTTCCTCCTTGGTATGTTGATTTGTGATGTAGTTCTACTGTAAATGTTATGTAATTGTTTTATCTTCTCCACAGGTTTTGCAGAATATTGTACACTGTGCAGATCTCAGCAACCCCACAAAACCACTAGAGGTTTATCGCCAGTGGACGGACCGAATCATGATAGAATTCTTCCACCAAGGAGATCGTGAGCGGGAGAAGGGCATGGAGATTAGCCCAATGTGTGATAAACACAATGCCTCCATAGAAAAGTCTCAGGTGACACTGCTAGTAAACTTTAGGTTATAGATGGCATGGGGATGACAGCTGTTTAACTGTGGGTGGGTTTTTTGAATTTTCATGCTAAAGTGATATAAAATACAAAGCTAAACACAAATGCATGAAAAAGCTATGTATATCAACATAGCCATCAATAATTTTAAAAATCTCTTGAATGGAAGTGAGAAGGCGAAAAGCAAACATTCACAGTCAGAGCATTTTGAGCTAGGAAACTTTTGCTTGTATACCTCTGGTTTTTGCAACTGTAGAATTGGAAATGGAGGAGGAATTCGATACAGACTTATAAATAATAGGGCAACAAAATTAGCATATTTAACATTCTATGTTATTTTTCTTCTGCCAGGTGGGATTCATTGATTATATTGCTCATCCGCTTTGGGAAACCTGGGCTGATTTAGTTCATCCTGATGCTCAGGACATTCTGGATACTTTAGAAGACAACCGAGAATGGTATCAGAGCATGATTCCTCACAGTCCTTCACCTCCCCCAGATGCATCAGATTTAGAGAAAAGTGGAGGAGACAAATTCAAGTTTCAGCTTACTTTAGAGGAAGAAGATGGAGAAGAATCAGATATTGAACCAGAGATTGAGAGCCCTTTGGAAGAGGATAATAGTGAATCCAAAACCTTGGGGACAACCGATGATTCAGAATCTGCAAACGAGCCATTGCCTTCTCCAACAGACAAATTGGGCAGCCCCCACAGAAACGTCCTAATCAAACAAAAGGGTGCACTGAACTTTGACAACCAAAGAACACTTTTACAGACGGATAGTGGTTCCATAGCAGACCCAGCTGAGTTAGCAAGAAGAGAGAGCCTGACTGATGCACAATCATGTCTTGACATGGAAGGAAATATCACCTTTTTGCCTCTTGGGACGTAGTGAAGGGAAGGCCAGATGATGATTACATTCTGGCAGGGCCAGAAGGGGAACATCCCAAATCTTGCTGCCAGCAACCTATGATTTCACTCCCCATTGTAAGGGAGTGTTACTATTAACATTTTCTTCCTCAAAGAAATCTGTAGCTTGAACCACATTATTTGCCCAGGTGGCGAAATATCAGAGATCAGACTATGCCTGTCATGTCTTCCTTCCAGTGTTGCTACTCAGCATCTGAGTTGTACCTGGCAAATGGAAAAATTCTTCCCGCTGGACTTGTCACTATCACTAATTTCTTATTTTGGTTTCGACTTGGAAATAGTCTGCATCTTGTTTTAAGAAAGCCCAGGTGGAAATACAGCTTTTAGTTCAGTGTAATGTTTTGCCTGAAGATAAACACAGGTTCAGTCTCTGACATCTTTAGTCTTCTTTTTTAAGAGGTTCTAGGCTGNGTGTTAATTTTAAATTTACCGCTCACAGCGTGCCATTTTCGTCGCGCTGTGATGACGTCACGTAGCGCTTTCGTCGAGCGCGCTTTAGTCTACCGCGGATTTGTGGTGGAACCAATAATCTGAATGATTTGCAGTGTATGTTAGACTGTATGATGTAACAAGGAATATAATTCTGAAAATCTGAATATGGATTAAAGAATATTAGTTGTCTTTGACAGAGAATATAGAGGAAATGATTTTAAGTTGCGCTTGTCAGAAGAATCGTAAATTGAATGCAGTGGGAATGAGTATGGATTAAAATGTGTGCTATAAAACAAGAAGTAAGTAAGGATTTATATAGGCTAACTGAATGTGGATTAAATACAGAAATGATTGGCCAAAATGAAACAAATATTTCAAAGTGGTTTGGACACAGAGAGGGAATGAATGAGGATCAAATCACCAAATGAATACATGAAGAAAGGGTGAATGGATTGAAAGGAAGGGTGACACCGAGAAAATCATGGTTGGATGCAATTGATGAGAACATGAAAAAGAGCAATGAAAAGTTTAAAAATAAAATGGATATGATGGAAGTAAAGAAGACATGTAAGAATGGAAAAGGTATAATAATGATGTAAGCTTTAGCAAGGCTTTTTTACTCCTCTTTAAGAATTATTTAAATTCTTGGACTTCCTCCTATTTTTTATTACTTTTCTTACTCTGTGTAACATTGCTTTACTAGGATTGGTGTGTTTGAATGCGTGAATAAATGCCTACAGACATAAGAAAACTCTCCCCCACTCCCGAAAATATGTGTTAATTTTTTCTTGTTTCCAAACTGCTACTTTTTTTTCTCAAGTGACTCTTGTGTCTTCTTTCTAGTATTCTTGAAAATGGGGAGAGGAAGACAGAGAAATAATTTTTGTATTTGTGGTGGGGGGTTATAAACAGGTGCTGGCAACAGATATGTCAAAACATATGAATCTTCTGGCTGATCTGAAGACAATGGTAGAGACCAAGAAAGTGACAAGCTTGGGAGTCCTGCTTTTGGATAACTACTCCGATCGCATTCAGGTAAGGCACTAAGGAGCAGGGATAAAATGGAGAAGAGCACATTTCAGAGATGTGAATCCCAAGCTCAATTCATACTTAAATAGAGTTAGACCTGAGCTCGAGATTTTGTGGCTAGTTATTAAAACCATGAAAGTCAAATGATAGTTCTATCGAGGTCCTCTTGTTCAGAACTTAATGTTATTAAGTTCAAAGAGCATTATTAGCGGGTGTATAAAAGATGTGAATCAACTTAAAATATATTTTTGAATATATTTTTATTATTTTTACATTTAAAACAATGCAGTACCGCGAAGTCGAAACCAAAATAAGAAATTAGTGATAGTGACAAGTCCAGCGGGAAGAA